CCTGTAGGACATGTTTCCTACAGTGGGCACTGGCAGAGAGGAGGGTTTGGAGTGAGGGGCCAAGTATGCTCCTCCAGCTCCAGACCAAGAGCACAGAATGATGCCGTCTCTGGGACATTAGGGCTATCTTTGGGCTTTTGCCTGTTGCAGAGCAGCTTTTTGCATTCAGGTGACTCTATCAGGACTCATCACACAGCAGGCAGAGCTTCCAAGTGCTCTGCCTTACAGTGCAGTGATGCTGCCCCCAGCCACCCTGGGGAGAGGTTAGGAGGCACCCCAACATTCTGTGCTTGGTAGGAAGCATCCTATGTCTCCCTGCTGCCATCTGCAGCCCTGAGGCACAGTGTCATCTGTTTCTGTCTCCATCCCCGCCACCCCAGATCTGTGTGCAGCCCATTCTCTTTGAAGAGTGACTTCAAATGAAGCAAAGCAAAACAAAAAACCAAAAAACCAAAATCCACTGTGTTTCAAAGTGCCGAACGCAGTGGGAAGTTGCCCTCCCCCAGAAATCTCTGCTGGGCTTTGCCAGGCCATGATGGGACATGGTGAGGAGCAGCTCTGCCAAGGGGACTGTCATGCCCCACAGGGACATTGGTACCGGTGTACATGGTTTTGAAAGAAATTTTGACTCACAACATTTCAGTTTTGGATGCAGGAAGGGGTTTATGGCAGAATTTCTCCATGCCACTCCCCAAAAACTTTTGGGTAAGCTCAAATGGTGCCAAGCAGAACAGCAGGATCAGTACAGGGTGGGGAGTGGCACCTTGTGTTTCTGGCTTACATCCGTGGGTGTCACAGGCAGCCCGGTCACCCTGGCCATGCCAGGGACAAGAGCATCCCATGCCAAGGGAGCAGGGTCCGGCACTGCTGCCTTCCCTGCTGGGACCAAACCACAGCCCCAGGCTGAGCTGGGTCCCTCTGCCCTGACCATGGTATCTGGAGGTCATCCAGCCCCAGGCAGGCAGCAGACGTCTCTCAGACCAGGATTAGCATGCAGAGTGGAAGAAAAGCTCTGATTGTTCCCTCTGTCCCGGCTCTGCTCCAGGACCACTGTGCTGGGACTCTGTGTCCCCAGAATGTGTCACCGCGGGTGCAAGCATTGAGGGATGTTTTCTCTGCCTCTGTGCCTATCCGTGGGGGTGCAGAGCCACCAAGGAAGGCCACACACGTGTGTGTGCACATTTGCATGCCTGTTTTTCCCTTGGCTGGGGTCTTTGGTGGCAGAAAAGAAGGGGATCTTTTCTGAGCAGGCTGTTTTGCAGCACCTGGCCCCCTGCCACGCCACTGCACTCGGGGCAGAAAAGGGCTGCAGGTCTTCCCCAGCTCTGTGGCTCCTTCTTCTTTTGTTTTTGGCCCTTGAGCAGGCAAGGAAGGGCTTGCCCTGCTGCTTCTGTCTGCTGCGATGCTCAGTCAGGGATAGGTTTTGGCAATGCTCATGTGGGTCACTTACTAAGCCAGTGTGTGTCAGGGGAGAGGTCAGTGCTACCTTCTCACACACCACGGTGATAGGAGTGCTGTTCTGAGGCAGGGGAGCTCATGGGGTCCTGGGGTGAGGATGGGGAGTACTTGGAGGACCCTGGAACAAAGGGTGGTGAAGGGTTGAGGGTGTGAGGCGGCCCTCAGGATGAGTGATGTTAGGATTAAGTTTAGGGTTAGAGTTAGGGACCACTAGGGTGAGGGTCTAGGTTAGTGGGGTTAGTGGCTGCAAATTGTGACATGCCCCAGCTCTTCCCTTGTCCATGCAGGGAAAGATGCTTTTCCATCCCAACCTACACTGTTCAGCACATACCAGTTGCCGCCACACCGTCATTTTTCCAGGCTCTTCTTGAACCAGTCAGTGGCCCTGAGATCAGGGAAACTCGTGTCAGCAGTGAGCCAGTGCCCAGAGCATATTCCCCTGCCACAGAGCAGCATGGGTATAGCAGCTTTGCCTTCACTCTCCGCAGTGTTTGAACAAAAACCCAGGGTGGTTGGGAAAAGGAATTACTTCTAAACTATTTTTCTATCTCCGCACTAACATACTCTCTCTTCTCCCTGCTCCCACTCCACTCCAGCACCATCCCTTCACTCTGGCCCATGCGGTGTTTGGAGTTATTTTTGGTTGCTCCTTTTAAGACAAAATACACTAATTTTTGTCTTCTTTTATTT